ATAAACCTTATTTTGAGCCTATTTTAATGTAACAAGTTTTTAAAGATTTATTCTTATTGACAGTTGCTTTCAGAGGGAGGATATTGTGCAATAATGAAATAATTTTTTTAAAGAGAAAAGTGAACTGGGGAGGGGTAGGGAAGAAAATGTGCAACAATGAATGAAAGGAATTCCAGGTTTTCTGTAAACTTTTGTTAAAACCACAATAAAAAATTATAAAAAAAAAGAAGTGGAAGGTGAAAAAACATACTCTACATCATTTTATCATATTGGCACAATTTTTCTATTTGTTCATTTCTTGGTGGATATTGAGATTGTTTCTAATTTTTGTTATTGGTGTGTGCAGGAATTATGAACTTTCTATTTAGAACTTTAATTCATTTGCTATTTATTTTGCAAGAGAGGAGACTAAAAGTTATTCCTCCCTGTATGTCTGACCTATGTGTAATGCAGCCATGTCAAATATTTTATTGTCCCAGTGCTTTTAACTGACACACTTAAGTTTTGATGATTAATACTTTATTATCATTTTCTGCTATAATTTTTAATATGAATATACAGCTACAATTCCAAAGGCATGTGGTTCAAGTGGGAGAAGGATGGGCATTCTCCTCCCGTGTGATTACTGCCTCTGAAAACCCTCTGGAGGGTCAGCTATGGGTTGGTTCCAACTTGACAGTAAACAACAAACAACAACAACAACAACAACAGTTTATGCAATTACTAAAAATGAATATAAGAAAATACATGAAAGGTATTTAAAAAATTAGGAATTCTTGTGACCTAGTGGGTAGTAACGAAGAGTAATCTCCGATGGTATTTACAGCCTCTGAAAACCCAGTAGAAGATCAGCTATGAGGTGGTTCTAGTTTAGTTGCATATAACAACAACACTTAAAAAATTATTAATGCAATTCTATTTACTGAATTAAAACTTCATTTCCAGGGTCATTTGTGATTTCTTATAAGCCACGCTTCTGGATTTAATTTTTGTCTGAGTACACTTTAATAGAGGGTAGATTCTTGCACTGTCTAAATGTCTCTTCCCTTTTACTCTTTTGCCCAGAATTTGTCTTCTAATTCAGCCCAGTTGTTTGTGTTTTTTTTTTCTTATGATCTGTCATCCCCATAGTGTTGTCTGGCCTCTCCTGCCAGGTCACAGTAAATAGCACATAGGCCGTGAGGGGGAAACAATTAGGAATTCAGTCAAGAAAAAGGGTGTTAGGTAAGAAGTGATGTGATCAGAAGGAGAGAATGTCTCCAAATTTTTCTCAAAGGGAGGTGAGTTGAGCAGATATGCTTATATTAAAATGTACTCTTTGGCATACAATGCATAGAGATAGAGGAATTAATTATATATATTTATAATGATTTACTATCCATGACAATTCTATGAGGGATATATGTATTATTTTTTTCTTTGATATGTGTGTCTCAATAAGCTGGACTGACCCATAGCGGGTTTTTGGAGGCAGTTAATCGCATGAGAGGAGATTGTTCATCCCTCCCACCACCTAGGAACAGATGGGGATTCAAATTGCATGCCTTTGGGATTGCAGCACAGATTCTTACCACTAAGCCACAAGAGCTCTCTTTCATGTTACAGCTGTGGAATCTGAAGGTGTAAGAGTTTAAGCAGTTTCCCCAAGCTGTAGTCATAGGTCCTTGACTAGTGATTAAAAAGGATATGATTTTATGTGGACCAGAGCTCAAATTCTTAAAAAGTACAAAGTTACCTGTAAGGCTGAGATTAAAAGGCTCCTTGAGGTTATTGCCTTGAGATCATAGACTTTAAGCTGAAATTACCCCCTGAAGTCACCTTTTACCTAGATAATAAACTGACTCACAAAATAAAGAACATTACCAGTGATTAGTGCCTACCTTAAAAAATATCTTCATGATGATGAATGGTCAACAATTATTCTAAAGCAAAAAGGAAAGGGTAAGGGGACAGGGAAACCAAATTACTGGAATAAGATATCCAAAGTGGAATTAATGAGAATATTGACATTGAAAACCCAATACATATAGCAATTTACTCTGTAAACTTCCACAGAAAACACAATAAAATAGTAAAAAAAAATTAAGTCAACAAGAAAACAGAAAAATAAGGAACTCACCTAGGGAGATGACTCAATAGTGGAAAAAAAGAGAACACTATTGCAATATCCTTCATGGTTTTTATTGTATTGCACCAAGATACTGCATTATCCATAAGAAAAAATTTGGGCACAGAAAATAAGAGATAATATTTTAAATGAGACTTCCTGGCTATAGGAGTAGGCAGAGGATTTAATCAGACCACTTGAACTAATACAGTAGAGGCAACCACAAAATTTATACAGTCTTTGGGGCTCCAACATGAGCCCTTTGGGGTCTGTACTTCCTAGATCATTTTCTACCTATCTCCAGACTATTTTCAATGTGCCTTTCACACAGGGAGTGGTCCAATTATCCCTGGATGTGGGGTGAGCATTGTATCCTGAGGATGAGACTGGACTTTTTGTTCAGGGAAATGGTTATGTTCTCAGTTTTCTTTATCCTGGCCCTCTCTGGGACACCATCACATACAAAATTGAATTTTGTTTTTTTGACTTTAATGCCAAAGAACAAACATACAGATATTTTAAATACTCAGACACAGCTAGATTCTATGTTTCCCAAACAATAATTTCTATTCTTTCATGTTTTGTATTATTTTCTTTCCCTGTAGTTCTGCTATATTCAGAGCAGTTGTCTCTTCCAGATATTCTCAGTGGTCCTTCCTAGTATACCTATCTGATTTGTATTGTACCTCTCAGGCATACATCTCTTGATATCCATGACTTGCAAAATAGTAGAAAATTATTTATCATGATTTGTCATAAATTATTTATCAGTATTTCCTTTTTCTTTGCTTTGTTTTCCTGTTGTTGACTTCCCACCCCTTGAAATTATGTGCTTTCCTTACATTGACAAGAAATTATGATGTTTCCTAGATGTAGATTCCTAGGGACCACTTCTAGAGAGTCTAAGCTCAGAAACATATTTTTAAATAACTATTTTAGATTATTGCCATAGAGTCAGAATCGACTCTTAGTTCTCTCTAGTAGTTTTCAGAGGCTGTAAATTGCATAGGAGATTGCTCATCTTTTTCTGTAGGAGCTGCTGGTGGATTTGAACTGCATCCCTTTGAGTTTGGAAGTACAACTCTTTACCCACTAGAACACTAGAACTCCATTTTAATGTGTTACTGTTGTTCGGTACCATTAAGTTGAGGATAATTCATAATGACTCTATCAACAACCGATCTAAACACTGTCCTATTCTGTGCCATCCTCACAATCTCTGACACACTCAAGCCCATTGCTATATTCACTGTGTCAACTCACCTCATCAAAGGTCTTCCTCTCTTTCACCACCACTCTACCTTTCCAAGCATCATGTCCCTCTCTAAAGAATAACCTCTCCAAGCACCCTTAAAGGAACAGCCTCTCCTACCCCAAAGTATGTGAGATGAAGCTTCATCTTCTTTGCCTCCAAAGAGCAGTCTGGCTGTGCCTTCTCCAAGACATGAAACCATAGGGAGCTCTGGTGGTCTAGTGGTGAGGAGTTGTGCTACCATTCCAAAGGCACACAGTTTGAATCCACCCACTGCTCCATGGGGGAAAGATGGGAAATCCTCTCCTGGGTGATTAAACTGACTTTGAAAACCTGCTGGAGGGTGATCTATGAATTGATTCAGACTCGATGGTACACAAGAACAGCAACATACACCATATCTTGAGAAACACATTGACATATTTCTAGTGAAAACAAATTAGAAATGCTTTTGTGTCATTTAAAAAAGGCTTTAGTAGTTTTCAGGAGTGGGAAAGAATGAAGAGGGGGAGAAAAAAAATAATAATTATATAGATAATAGACACTGAGGTGGATGAAGTGATAGGCAATGTATAGCAAGGGGCTTATTTGACATTTTAATTAATTAAGTACATTAACTGTAACTTATATAACAAACTGTATGAATAATGGATTAATAAACTTTCACTCGTATCACAGTAAAAGAAAAATAGGACTTCTTAATAAATAGATTTAATAATAATAATAAAAACAATAATAATAATAATAATAATCCCTCAAAGATTATTGCTTTCTTATTGCCATTGAATTAGTTCCTCCAACTCATAGCTGATTGTCTGTCTGTTGGGTTTCTGAGGTTGTAAATGGTATGGAAGGAGGTTGTGTTTTTCTCCTAAGTTGTTATAGACTCAAACCACCAAAGAGGAGGAGTGGACTTGGGATAACAATTCCACTCTGGGACTATATATACCACTAGAGATCTCCTAAAGATTATCTAGTACAAACAAAATCTAAGAATTGCCTCCATGGCTTTAATTTAGTTCCTTTCATATTTAATTGGCTCTTTTACTTTCGTACAATCTATTGATCCAACTTCTAAAGTAGCAGGACTGTTGGGACTCCCAGAACAAAGGTCTAATTTGTCTCTTGGGCCCAGGCATGAGTGAATAGAACTTCTTCCTCTCTTTTAATTGACCCTTCCTCTTCCAAGATTGAGCTCTATCACAATCATTATTTGTATCACTATTTACCTTAGTCTCAAGAATTTTGTTTTCACATTTCTGAGATTTGATTTGAAGCATTCCTTTCCGTATCCATCTGATCTTTACTAAATTTCTCGTTACTCTCTCCTATTCCTTGTCTGCCAACCTTCACTCCACTGTGGATTAATAATCTTCAAATATTTCCCCACATGGTGTAATTATTTCACTCTCTTCATTTAGTCTTTCAGTAAATATATATACATATATGTGTGTGTGTGTATATATATATATTTATTTATATAACAGTATATAAGTTCTATAGAAATTAAGATGTCTTTAGTCTTTACCCAGTTACAACTGGAAATAGAAGGTACCTCATCTTGTTAGATATCCACTTTCAAAATAAAATCTCCATCTTCTTATTGCAGTGGTCTAGCCCTTTAGAACTTTGAGGAAAAGGTTAACATGGAATCCAGGAAGAAGTCAATTGCCGTCCTGTCCCCCTCAGTGGGGTACAGTCTGATATGAACTGTCTCCAGAGTTTATGAAGGACCCATTTTACCTCTTGATTCTTGAGGCTGTAGATGATGGGGTTGATCATTGGGGTAAGCACAGTGTAGAGGACAGAGAAGGCCTTTCGGAGCAAGGCGGGCATATGATCTGTTGGGGCCACATAGACCACAATGAGGGTACCATAAAACACTCCAACCACACTAAGGTGGGAGGAACAAGTAGAGAAGGCTTTTTGTCTCCCATGACTTGAGGGAATTCGCAGCACAGTCCTCAGGATGAGGGTGTAGGATGCCACAATCAACAGGAAAGGAGCCAGTGTCAGGAAGCCTGAAATGCTGACCCCAGCTCCCCACATGATATTTACATCTCCACAGAACAGCCCTACAACTGGAGCAAAGTCACAGAAGTAGTGGTTGATTTCCTTGATACCAGGGCAGAGTGGCAGAGGAGCTGCTAGGGCCAGAGTGAAGGCAGAGAAGATGAAGCCACTGAGCCAGGCCCCACTGGCCAGGGAGCCACACAACCAGGTGCTCATCAGGATAGGGTAGTGAAGGGGGTGGCAAATGGCCAAGTAACGGTCATAGGACATGGCAGAGAGAAGGAGGCACTCAGCTGCAGCGAGCGAGGCAAATATGTAGAACTGGACCAGACAGCTGACCAATGAGATAGCTTCCTTGCCTTCCAGGAAGCTCCACAGAAGCCGAGGAACGATGTTGGAGGTGTAGCCGATTTCCAGCAGCGAGAAGTGGCAGAGGAAGAAATACATAGGTGTTTGGAGATTCTGACTAGAGGCCACAGCAAGCACAATGAGGGTGTTACCCCCAACTGTCACCAAATAGATAGCTAGGAAGAGAGTGAAGGGGAGGAAACCCAGGTGTTGCAGTTCCCCAAAGCCCACCAAGATCAACCAGGTGGTCTGGTTCTCATAATCACTAGACTGCTCCCTCATCTAGATCTGGAGCCCAAGGGAAGAAAGGAAAGTAACTAGCATTAAGCCACCTCCAATTTTTGTTCACATACTGTGTGTGATTATTCGCCTGTTCATCACAGCACACAGTATTGATGAGGTCTTACTGTTTGTAGGAAAGAAACCCAAACTCAGTGAATTCAATTGTCCAAGGTCACTATGGTTGAGTCAGGGTATAAGTTTGGGTTTTTCTGACCCCCAAGCTTCTGCATAGTCTACTATTCCATAGCGTTTTCCTAAATCCTTTCTTAGTAATAGGAATGTTGTAATCAGAGAATAGCATAAATATCTTCTAATGAACAAGGGGCTATTTATCTTATAATCCTAGTTGATCACCAAAGGTAGAACCACACTTGGTAAGTCGTCTTCTTTTTTTTTTTTTAATTGAGATTTTAAAGAAAGTTTATAGAGAACTTTGGTTTCCATTCATTCATTGTTGCAGGCAAGTCTTCCTTAAAGCCTGGCAAAGGCCCCATGACTTCTGAGGAGGTGGGCCTACTCTGATCCAGAGCAACAATCTATGTGAGAGCTGTAATATAGAAAGACAATTATTAACTCAGGTCCTACTTCTTTGGGAAGTCATTCTTTATTTTATATTTATTTCATATTTTATACCATTGGAAAGAGGCCTGGGAACTCTTAGAAAAGCCATTGCCAAATTAAATCTTTTCCCAAATCTTTAGTCAGGTAATTGTAATTTTTAGGCTACTTTCATTTTCTTGATGCTTTTGCCTTTTGCTCTCTACCTAGGTCCAATGCTCAATTTATCTTACCTGCCTGTGAAATCTTTAAAAATTTCTGCATTTTAATAGGATTCTCTTTCTCAGTTATTGTACTTTTATTATATTGTCGAATACTAGAGGGTCCATCATAAATACTTGTAAGGAATGACAATGAATAAATGAATTAATCATTATTATTTTTCCATAGCAATTGTTATGGGAAAAAAATTACAGCATATAAAAACTAATGCTTAAGGCAGAGAAAGAGGCATTTTAAGAACTATTTAAAACATAAGCAATCTCTGTATCTTTCCCTACTGAAGGAATATTAGAATATTGCTGTTTAGAGTTTGAGACAGAACCATGAGTAAGTTTGGAGGTAGAAGTTAAAGAGGTAGGGATGTGTGCATGGGGGTGGGGAGTGAGGGAAAAAAAACCCAGAAAACTCAATGCAATATAGTCTTCTCATGTTAGAAGTTGAGAAAGATGACTTTCTACATTAGAAGATGGCAGCAAGAATACACGGTTTTCCTCTCCTAGTTCTATTTTCCTCTGATTTGGGTTTTGATAAACTCTTTCAGTTACTTGGGGATAGAGATAGAGAGTAATTGAATAATTCATATGTACCTCAGCTTATTTGTTTTAGACACACACACACACACATACAGGTATAGACAAAAAGATCTTTTTAAAGAGCCAGGGAGAGACTTGAATTAAGTATGAAATATAGGTTTAGCAGAAAGATAGAACAAGGAAGGAAACTGGTAATATTAACCAAACCAGTCAACCAATCAATTGTCCCCAAACCTCATAAATCTGTAGTCTGATTTAATATGTATAATAAAAAAGTGTTCTTGATAATGAATTACTTTGACCTTGATCTTGGGTAAAATTTTTAAATTAATGTTTTGTAGAACAATTGAAAGTTTCATAAGAGATCACCAGAACTATGTATTGTTAATGAAACTGTTAATATGAAACTTTGCAGGATAACCTTTACTAATAACATTAAGAATTTATCAGATTTTAAAAAAGCAGAAAATAACACAATACTTTCAATAAAATGTGAAAACCAAGAGTATGATTATGTGCCTAAAAATAACTATTTGCTTGGCTATATATAAAAATATAAAAAATATTCATTCAAATGATTGAAGATACTGAGATAGATGTCTAGTGGAAAGGAGAAGACTTTGTAGATCTTGTTTTCACCTGTTTTATCAGTAACTTTGATAGACATAGCAAGCATTTCTAGTTTATAAAAACTCAGAAGACATGAAACAAGGTGAAGTCATTATTAGATATAACATAATTATAATTAAACATAATTTTACCTTTCAGAGTGCTTGACTAAAAACAAGATGAAATTTAACAAAAGTACATATAAAATATGCATGTAGACTTGCACAATAAGTTCCACAGGAAAGAAAAGACCTGACTTTGAAGCCATTTGTGACAAAATAGTTGGTATTTTTTGTTGACTACCATCTACTAGCACTTGGAAACTATAAAACAGGCAGAACATATGAAGAATGTAAGAATGTTGAATTTGGGGAAAAAACATCAAAATGAAAGGATACGAAAATAGTTTTGAAACTTTGAATGGACTCTTATGAAAAAGAGGGCTGATACATGGTCTGTAAGAGTTTAGAAGAAGCCCTAATAGTGAAATGGTTTAAGATCTTGATTGCTAACTGAAAAATTGGCAGTTTAAACTCACCAGCTATTGATAGAAAGATATGTCAATCTGATTCTGTAAAGATTTATGTTCTTGGGAACTTTATGAGGCAGTTTTATTTTTGCCCTACAGGGTTTCTGAGAATTGGAATAGACTTGATAGAAATGGGTAGATAGATGCCCAGAGAGCAAAATAAGGAAAAAAGGGACAGAGATAATGAAAAACCAGTGATACTTACCCGTGTTGCTTTCTTCAAGGTGATTCCTGTGGAGCTAACTATTGTTATTTAATAGCATGATTTTTTAGTATGAAAATAAGGAGAAGTTTCTTGACATAGTTTGAGTGAACTAAAATTCCTCTCAACTCTAGAAATTTTGTTGGCAAATATGGCTCTCTTTCATTGAAAACACCTTCAATAAATTCAGAACTTTAAAAAAATATATTAAGGTTTCTTCTCCACCTTTTGTCTGTCAGTTTGCTGCACTTCAGTGACTTGCATGTTGCTGTGATGCTTGAAGCTATGCCACCACTATTTCAAACACTAGCAGAGTTACCCATGGTGGACAGGTTTCAGCAGAGTTTGTAGACTAGACAGACTCATTTAGGGTAGGAACAGTATTAGAGTCAGCATTAAAGTTAGTGTTAGGGACAGCCTTGGGACACTGATAATATTATACATATAATTCTATGTATTAGATATAGTATTATTTTGTAACAATTTTCCAGCTATTTAGTTTGAGAATTTATTTACCTTTTGAACTTCCTTTTTAGCTCCTGAGTAGCTTTTTAAAAGCTTTCCCAATTTGATAGGATTCCTTGCCTTTTTTAATCAGTTTAAAGAGTTCTTTGTAAATGAATGATATTTTTAAGAAAAAAAGTATAGTAAGGCTTCTTCTATGCTTGTTTTGAGGTAAAGAGCTGTACTGCTCAGATGAACTCTAAGATGTTAAAAGTCAACGGAGAGGGGACTGACCTGCTTGATTCTTGATTCAACCTCCTCTTTCTTTGATGCTTTTACCCCTGGACTAAATTATTCTCTTAGTTGAGGACTTTATAGACTTTGTGCTTCACTCCTGTGGAAACCCTAAGCTATTGGCTTTTTCTCCCACAGGATGCTTATGGAATCTGCTATCCCTTTAAAGTACTGCTATGGGTGCTACTACTTTTCTAGGGCAGTGTAGCCTGTCCACCTTGTGGGAGTTGGAGAAGAGATTCCTTGGGGAATATGCACAGATTAGAATAAACTGGAGAAGCTGAATCTATGTTTTGATTTTAGGGGAATGTTCTGGTTCACCAGGGACCACATCCAGGTAGGTGTTTCACTGAAAATCTAATGACCTCCTTCTCATGAGACAAAGAAAGATTGGTAATACATAGGAACAGATGAGAAATCCCCCAAACTAAAGCCAACACTTACCTATTTCTGTTAGGTATCATGAAGTTGATTCTGACTTATAGTAACTATATGTACAAAGGATGGAAACCTTGCCGAATCCTGTGCCATCACCTCAATTGCCACTGTGCTCAAGTCCATTGTTATAATTACTGTGTCAAATCTATTTCGCCAAAGGTCTTCCTTTCTGAAAATAACCCACGTTTGGAAGTGTGACGTCCTTTTGTAAGGACTACCCCATCCTAACTACTTGTCCAAAGTAAATTTTCTCCTGAGGTACATTCTGGTGATATTCCCTAGACATATTTATTTGTTCTTTTGGCTATTTATGATTTATTCAATACTCTTTGCTAATACCACAATTTAAGGACACCAATTCTTTGATCTAATTCTTTGTCCAATTTTCACATGTATATGAAGCAATTGAAAATACTGTAACTAGAACCTAAGTGAGTTTGTAAAAACAAGACTAGCATTACAGGAAAGATTCAGAAATGTTCTTTTTACATACATAACACAGAAAGCTACATGGTCCAAAGTAACTAGCAACAACACCAAAAAGAACTCAGCACAATGATAGCAATAAAACCTTGCCACACTGAATGTGAATGGTTTAAATGCACCACTAAAGAGAAAAAGAGTAGCAGATTGGATAAAAAAATCCATCAATATTTTGTCTACAAGAGACACACCTGAAAAATGAAGATAAAGAAAGACTAAAAGTAAAAGGGTTGGGAAAAATATACCAAGTAAATGGCAACCAGAAAAAAGCAGGAGTAGCAATATTAATTTTTGATAAAATAAATGTCAATGTAAAAACAATCACAAAGGACAAGGAAGGTCACTACATAATGCTGAAAGAGTCAATAGAACAAGAGGACATAACAATAATAAATATCTATGCACCAAATGAAAGACCTGCAAAATACTTAAACATTAAAAAAACTGAAAAAGGAACTAGACAGTACTACTATTGTACTTGAAGACTTCAATACACCCCTCTCAAGAAGAGATAGAATTACCAGAAAAAAACTCAACAGAGATACTGAAGAGTTAGACCACACAATAAACCATAAAAATAAACTTGATCTCATAGATATTTATAGGCTAATGCATCCCAAAAAAGCACAGTATACCTTCTTCTCCACTGTGTATGGAATGTTCTCCAGAATAGATCACACTCTAGGTC